CTGTGAGAAGCTACCGGATCCCGAGCAGACCGTCCGCTCGATCCGCATCTTGGGCAGCAGGGTGGCCACCAGCTGCCTCAGTCTGCCCCTGGGGGGAAGATGGAGAGGGTGGCATGCTCCCTGCCACCCCCCTGCCGCCCAGAGCAGGGGCTCAGGGTCGTGCAGGAGATGCTGGCTGGCCTTCTGCGACACGGGGGGCCTGCCAGTGCTCACCCACGAAGAAGCCCCCGGGCTGTCTTGGGTCAGAGAACCGCGCCCACTCCCTAGAGGGAAGGAGGCACCACAGGGCTGCCCTGCAGAGAACCAGGAACGGGCTCGGGCTGGGAGCCGGCCTTCCGGCAGCCTGTGGGCGTGGGCAGCAGGCAGGGGACCCGGTGGGGTCACCCAGACCTGGTTCTTAGCGCCAATCAGGCACCAGCAATGGGAGGGACACAGCCCAGGAGCTCTTCTGGAAAAAGCAAAGGTCCTTCCTGCTTGGGGTGCTTCCTCCTGGGACCTGCCAGAGGAAGGAACTCCGTGCTCCTTGGCTCAGGGATGGCTCTCAGGGCTACACAGAGTGGCGATCACGGCCACCAGCAGGCCGGCCCACAGCAGGAAGGGAGGGGCACGTCCTCAGCTGCGGGTCTTGGGTCTGGGACTTGCCCATCCGCCCAGCGGGAATCACTTCCGATAAGTGCAGGCTGGGTGCCTTGTAAGCAAGCACTCCAGGGCGTTCTTACACACAGTAAAGTTCTTCTTTAAAGAAAACTCAACAAGTAGCATGAAAATGGCATGATGAGCTCCCTGTGGCTGGAGGTATTCAGGCAGAGACATCAAGGATTCAGGAAGCGGACACCCTCCAAGCACCCTTGTGTCTGGTCAGCAGGGAAGCCTTCCCGGAGGCGGTGAGGATGTGCTGGAAAGGAGGCCCACAGGGTTGCCCACCCTCCTGCCTCGGGGGGGCACATGATTCAGCAGCCTCTTGTCCCTCCAAAGCTGGAGTGACAGCTGTGGGCCCAGGCCCTGACTCCCCCTGACCACCGGCCAGCGTGCGTTCTGGTGCCCAGGCCTGGACCCACCCGGAGCCTGGCGGAAATCCAAAGCCATGTCGACGGATTCGTGGAGAAGCCGACCCGGCAGATATCTGGGCTGGGTTGCTCAGGCTGGTCTTGAACGCCTAGGCCCAAGCAGTCCTCCCACCTCGGCCTCCCGCCGTGCTACGATTACTGGCACGAGCCACTCGCCTGGGCCCACGTTCCCAGCACATTCATTTTCCCCGCATGTTGGCCACCCACGGCCCCGCCATCCGGTAGCCGGGGGAACTTGAACGCCAGCGGCACCTTGAGGTCGGCCTCCTTTCTGTCATGTCTGGACGGCTGGCTACCTGGAAGCCGCACACCTGGGCAGGTGAGCGGCACTGTGGTCTCCATCCCCCACGGGACTCTGGCGAGTGCTGGCCGGGGCGCTGCGGTTTCCCCACGTGCCCTTGTCTCTCCCGCCCAGACTCCCGGGCGTTTGCTTCCCCACGAGGGACTCGGCAGACCGCAGCTCCCTCGGCAGCGCCAGGGAGCACGGGAGCGTGCTCCCCTCTTTGTCCTCAGTGAGGAAGCCTGGGCTCACCCTCCGCCCAGTTGTGCCACGAGCTTCGGAGCCGACGTCCACGGGAGCGCCCTCTCCGCTAGCCCTCTGCGTCTCCCACTCCGCCCTCGGGGCTACCGTCTTCCTGCGGCCGACGTGCTCCACCCGCGACGCTCGGCTTGCAGAACGGAGCGTGGGTGTCCATTTCCCAGGCACGCAGCCCAGCAGCCCGGCATCCCCTCTGCTCCTTCCGCCCCTCACGCACCTGCCACCAAGTCCTGCCGGCTCCGCCTGGTGAATCCCTGCCCTCCAGATCCGTTCCGAACCCTTAAACGCCTGGCCATTTTGCTTCACTTCTTGCCGGCAAGTTCACTCTCCGCCCTCCTCCCTGCAGCCAGCGTGATCTTTCTAAGCATAACCCGATCAATCGATCCGCCTCCCTCTTTGTGACCCTTTGCTGTCATCACCACTCTGAAGGAACTCAGATCCCTGATGCAGCTTGCAAGCCGTGGTGTGCTTTCTGGCTTGCCGGTGATCGGGTGCCCCCAAACTCTGTCTAGACCGCATGAGGGCACCGCACTCCCCTTCTGCACAGATCTGGGGGCCAGGTACCCCCTTACGGGTGGGACGCAGCCTCAGTCAGCAGGATCCAGGCCCAGAGGTCAGAGGACGAGGCTCGCCGGGGGCAGCGAGGCTCCCAGACACCTGGATGAGCCAGACGGAGGGCGGAAGTCCGGCAGGGCCGAACCCCGTGGGGCGGGATTCAGGGTGGCCCCTGCCAAGCGACGAACCGCCCCGGGGGCCTGGGCGCAGGCTGGCGAGGAGTTGTCGCACGAAGAAGGTGGTCTCAGGGCTTCGCGTCGCCGCCAGGGACTTCAGACTCAGGGGCAAGCATTCGGTGACCTCACCCCACCCCACGGTCCCCGTATGCGCACGGGCACACCATCACCGTTCTACCTGGTAGATGAGAAAACCCAGGGTCAACGAGGAAGACCCCCTCGAGGGACGAGCAGCCCTGCTAGGTCACGCCAGCCCTTCCAACCAGCCACTCTTGGACCTCTGGACCCACGGCCCTCACCGGCAGCCTCCCTGGGGGCAGCTCCATCCGCATCGTCTTCCTCCCAGAGCCAAGTCTGGGGCCCAGGGTGTCAAGCCCTCTCTGGGCCCTGTCTCCAGTCCCCTGGACGCCCGTCCTTCTGACCAGCAGGTGGTCTTCCGAAGGACACAGGGACTGGTGGCGTCGGAGAAAAAAGACCCACGACTGTGAGGGCGGGAGCCATCACGGGAGCCAGACCCCAGGGGCTGTCGCCACGCCTGGCAGACCTCCGTGGCGCCCCGGCCTGCGGCCGTCGGGTCACGCTTTCCCTACTCAGCAGGTGGCTTTGCCTCCCACTCCAGAAGGCATCAGAGTCCTTGGAGGGGCCAAGGCCCTGCTGAATCCTGCCAGGAAGCACACGCTGGCCTTCACCCCAGCCCCACCCCTGCATTCCTGTTACCTGGGAGCCTCTATCCCCCGCCCCTGCCCTCCGCCGGGGCTGGACCCGTCCACCTGCTCTTCCTGGGGAGGCTCTTGGCTCCTGGCAGCCTGCTGGTGGCCCGATGCGGACCTCTAGGCTGGAGGGTGTCCGTGGTGCCTTGGGAGGCGGGCCCGCCGCCCCCCCATGGTCATCAAAGTGGGCTCAAGACCCCGCCTCTCTCAGGCCTGGGGCGAGCTGCAGCCCCCAGGTCGCCCACCGCCTGTGCCGGCCCCAGAAGGCGACCTCTGGACAGGCTTCTGCGTCGCTGGCCGTCCTCCCCTCCCCTCCTCCAGCCCGCCACGGGCCTCCCTCCTCTCGGCAGACACTGCCCTCGGCCCGCCCCTGGGCTTTCGGTCACTGCGTCTCGTGGACCTGTTCCTCCTCCCAGCCGTCTCCCCGTCCCCTTGGCCCTTCCTGTCCTCCGGGCTCCTCCCCGGTGCCGGGCACGCTCCTGGACAGGCTACCCCTTCTTGGCTGCTCCTTCGGTGGGGGCTCCGTCTCTTCTGTCCCCACGGCACGCATCGGAGGGGACCTCCGCCCCACGTGCTCACCCAGCTGCCCCAGGGAGGGTCCCGAATGCTCCCCCTCCGAGACTTTCGTGTCTGCCGTCCGCGTGCTTCCTGACCACGCCCCGTGTCTCCCAGCAACCGCAGACCTGGGGGTCCCACTCTGAGCGTGGCGACGTCCCCTGCCATGGCACCCCTCCTCAGGGTCCCCCTCTCAGAGGGGCTGGTCGTCACACAGGTGCCAGGCCCAAGCGCCGTGTGGCTGGTGATTCACCCCTTCCCTCCTTGGAGCTTCCAGGCTCTGAGGCACCGGCCCCTACCAGCCGGCAGCTGGTGGCTCCTGCACAGGCCGCCTTTCTCTGCCCCGAGCCACCCACCTTCTTTCGAGCTCCTGAAAGCTCCGCCCTGGCTCTTCCTCCTGCCTGAAGCATCCTGTGTTCACCGGACCACCTTCTGTTCCTCCTCTGACCTCAACCTGGAAGTCCCCTCCTCCAAGAAGCCTTCCCAGACTTCCCACACTGGGTCGGCACTGTCCTCTCAGCTGGCAGAGCCCAGTTTCCCCATCTCTTGCCAGTCAGATTGTCTATCCCGTCCCCTCCCGTGAGGGCTGTCACTGTGACCATCGCAAGGGACAGAATCAATCTGCGGTTAGGCGTTCTCCTCTGGTGTGGGCAGGTTGCAGGAGCAGCCTGCTGGCCATCATTACCAGCTGTGCGGCCTTGGGAAAATGACTAAGCTTTTCTGCGCCTCAGTTTCCTCAGCTATAAAATGGGACGGCCGGTCGCATCTGTCTCAGAGGGTCCTCCCAGGGCTAAGCGGGCTATTTCAGAACGACGCCTTAGCAGACGGCCGGACACAAGGGCCTCAGCCATTCGGTTCTCGACATCACTATTGCCTGCGCTGCCCCGAGAGATGGCGAGGCAAGGACATCAGTTCCATGAATGAATACACGACGGTCTTTTCGGCAGCTGTGCCTTTATTGCCTGCATGATCTCAGCCCCGCGTTCCAGTTGGGGAGGGAGGTCAATCCCGGCCAGGCAGGGGCCCCGGGGAGCAGAGCCCAGGCCTGCGGGAGGGGCGGAGGATCCGAGCTGGGTGCCACGTGGCCTGGAGGCCGGACTCGGCCCGGGGCAGCAGGTGGGCCGGCCATGGCGTGGGTGGCCCTCCAGGCTGCCGAAGCGGCAGGCCCAGGGCCCGGAGCTGGGAGGGCAAGGGCCCGGCGGGGGCACAGGCGGCCTCGGGGCATGCGGTCAGGCTGTTGGTGGGCAGAGGCACGCACTAAGTGGCCCAGGAAGACGGGGCGGCCTGGGAAGCCCTGGCCGAACTGTCCACCGGCCCCCGAGCAAGTGGGGCCACAGGGAGCCACTGCCGCCTCCCCAAGGAGAAGCAGACAGGCAGGGCATGCCCGGCCTCGGGGCGCTCAGACGTGCTTGGGGTTGGCCACTTTGCCCAGAAAGAGGATGCTCGTGGTGCCAGAGTCCAGGAGGATTATCTGAAAGGGCCTGTTGAAATTCACGATGGTCAGCGGGCCTATCTTTCCGGACATGGGGGATATCTTGACGCCCGTGGCGGCCGCTGCTTCCGTGCCCACCTCGGCCACGTCGAGCACGGCCTTGTGCACCACCTGTGGGGACAGCAGGGCATGACCCACCGAGCCGGTGGCGGGAGGGGACCCCGTGCGCCCCCGGGACTGCCCCCCACCCAGCCCCGCTGCCGGCCTGCCGGGCACTGCTGACTTCGCCTTTTCCTCCCAAAGCCCCCTCCCCGACTGCCGGGCCCACATAGACCCACGCCCAGACGTGCGCACGGAGTTGCCCAGCGCCATGAAAGCAAGAGGGGGTGCCGGCTGGGTCCCTCTCCAGGCCCAGAGTCGGTGCCGCCCGCCGAGACCCGCGGCCACGGGCAGAGGGCCGCAAGAGGCATTCTTCCCGAAAGCGACTTCCCGGCAGCGTCTTGGCAGCCAAGAAGAGGCCCAGCCTCCTCCGCCAGGCACGTGTGGCCTTGGGGTCGCTCCTGCAGCAGCTTCAACCTCCACGGGGCTCTGACTTCGTGTGGCTTTAAATCCTGGGCCACGCAGGCCTGCTGTTCCCGCCCCCAGACCCGAGCCCACGACCGAGGACAGCGGAGGAGCGCAGGGGGCTGCCCGATGACCCTGCTGGGATGGCCCCTCTTCTAGCAACGTGGCCCGAGGCTCCCTTTTCTCAGGCTCAGAGCGTTTCTCGTCACAGAGGCCCAACGGCCACTGTTATTGCCTGTCTTGCCACGCACCACACGCGAGCCAGGAGCAATCACCCCAGTTTACAGAGGGAAAGGCTGAGGGTGGCACGTGGGAGGGCGTCAGTGGCTGTCTGGTTCCCAGGCCACACTCTTCCCACGACAGACTCCTGGGCCACATTATGTGACAGGGGAGGTGAGGACTGGCCCCTGACCCCACAGGGTGAGCTGGGCTGTGACCCGCTCTCCTGGGCTCGGGGAGTCCCCGGGAGGCAGACTGGAGGGCAAGAAACACAGGTGCGGACACACAGGCCCGAGGGCCGCATGGTCCATCCGGCCTCCGCCCTTGAGCTCAGAGCCGGGGACAGGCCAGTCTGCAGACTCACCTGAGACAGCACCAGGTCCTTGGTGCCCGTGACCCCCGACAGGTCGGCGTTGCTGGTGAAGACGTCCCTGATGCCCATCTGGGACAGCATGTCATTCAGGTTGTAGTTGCCCGAGATGGAGAACTTGGGCAGGTAGAGCTCGTCGACCCACCTGGGACACGGGAAGAAGACGCGTGGGCCCGCGGGCTGGTACCCAGCCCCCGCCTGGCGGCGTCTCCCGGGCCTCCTGGGCAGCTACCGCCTTCTCACGGGGAGAGCCCCGTCCTCGGGCTCTCAGCCCCTGGGTCTGCGCAGTTTCCCTTAAGCCGCGAGCCTGAGCCTTGGTCCCGAAGCCCCCCACGGTATCCAGGAGCTTGTCCTGCCTCCCGTCCACCTTTCTAGAAAGCCGAAGTCAGAGGTCAAGGGTCACCAGCCTGACAACCGGGACTTCCAAGACTTGCAACGTCCCCAGTGGCTATTGCCGTCCCTCCCTGAGATCTTTTCCAGACTTCGTGTTTCGCTGAGACGCTGACTCCACCCATCCTGACCGGTCGGCTCTGCCCATAAAGGGAGTTTGCCCACTCCCATGGCTTCCACCTCAACCGGTTGGCCACGCCCATCCCCTAGCCAGTCCCCCTCCTGCCAAGTCATCTTCAGAAATTCAAACCTAAAATTTCTCGCGACGGTGAGTTGGAGAAACATCTCTATCCTGCTCTCTGTGCAGCGGCCCCAGGGCCTGCCTGACGGGGACGCACGCTTCTCTCACGGCCACGGTGGCCATTCAGGACAGTACGCAGATGACGTCACCCTGGGAATCTCCCAGGGGCTCTCCATTCCACGGAGAGGACGAAGGCCAAGGCTTCCAGGGGTCTACGCAGACCCACGTGGCCTGGCCCACCCCCTGGGAGTCTCAGCCGCACCCCACTCCGCCCCTCACCCGCCCTGCTTCAGCCACTCTGGCCGTGCTCTTCCTCCGTCATGCCAGGCTCATGCTGCCTTAGAGGTTTTGTGCTGGCCGTTCCCTTTGCCAGGAAGGCTCGTGCCCGGGAAATCCACAAGGCTCGAGCCCCTCCTCTGAGATGCTGGTGCTCGAGTATCTTGAATTCACAAGCCACGGTAAGTCCCCTACATATGAACAAGGAACAAGTTCTGTACCAAGAGTACGCTCGTAAATCCAATTTGTAAGTCAAATAAGGTTCACCGAGGTGCCCAGCTAACAGACAGCTCGATAGCACTGTACTGTCATAGGCTTATGATACTTTTCACACAACAAATGCATAACACAAGCACAATAAATAAAGAAAATGTTTTTAATCTTGCGGTACAGTCCCTTGCATGCACATGACGATGCATGCCAGACACGCAAACTAACGTTTGTGATTGGACATGAGAACACATGTCCAATCACAACTGCGGAGGTTTGCAACTTGAAGGTTCATAAGTAGGGGACCTACTGTACCACCAGTTCCCAGTTTCTTGGTCTTTTCTCCTCTCCTGCCTCCCTACCCAATTCCTCACCAACATATCAAATCGTTCACTTATTTGTTATTTTCTTAATTGTCTCTGTCTTCCCCAATGACAAATAAGCCCCAGGAAGGCAGGGAATGTCGTGTTTTATTCACTAGCATCACCCTCAGGGTCTAAATGAGTGCCTGGCACATAGTAGGTGCTCACTGAATCATTCAACACGCAACGAATGAGTGAAAGAACGTCATGGCTAACCAGCGCAGAGCTGATTCTCAGCACCCACCTTACCCCAGCCCTCAGCCGGTCACCATTCCTTCTGTTCCGCTCTTCCTTCACGAGGTTGAGCTTGGAGAAGCCCCGTGAGTGCTGGGGGCTGTGTGGGTGCTTCCTCGTGACTCAGAACATGCTGGAGTCAGAGGACGCCTCCACCTCTTGCTCTGCCTGACGGCACCATCTCAAGGATGAGGACAGCCGTCAGGCCCAAGGCCCCGGCAGCCAAGGGCAAAGTCAACCGAGGCTCTGCCTGTCCCTGCACAAGCTCTCCCATCTGTCCCACCTGTCTCCGTCCTTGGACACTGCGGAGAGCTTGAGGGAGAGGGGCGTGGCGTCTCAGGGCCGGCGGACTCCTCTGGGTCCCGGGGACAGTACCTGGTCTGCAGCGAGTCTCTCCACCTCCTCAGGGTCTCTGGGAGCAGCCTGGCTTCCACTTCCTCCATCTTGCCCTTGTCAGGGAGGACAAAGAGCATGCTGGCGTTGCCCGTATACGGCAGCTCCACCACGGTGCAAGACAGCTCCTCGTCCCGGAAGAATGGCGTGGACAGATCCTCCAGTTTCATCATGGGCACCTTCACCCACTTGTTCTTCCTCACATAGAACCTGGACTCGAAGGTATCGCGAGGGTCAAAGGGCGTCTTCCACTTGGCTAGAGGGGGAGCAAGCCATGGGGACGGTGTGAGTGCCCGGGTGGCCCTGCTTGACCTGTCCTCACCCCACCTGCCCTGCAGGGGGAGAGCTCTGCCCACCAGCAGCCACCCAGCGGCCCTCAAAGGGGTGGCCCTGCCTCAGTTTGGAAAACGACCCTGGCAAGCAGAAAGGCCCTTGGGGACGACAGAGCACCTTGCAGGCCTGGGTTGGGAAGGGAAAATTCCATAAAGCTGCCTCTGACACCTCGAGCTACTGCAGACACCAAACACAGGCCAATTCTTTTCCACACGAATCCTCACACAGAGGCCTCCTTACTGCAGTTCCTGTCGCCCTTCACGGCATGTCGGGCTTTCAGCAAAAATGACAGGTCAAAGGCAAGAAAGCAGCTTGAATGAAGAGACAAAGCGACACTCAGAATCAGACTCAGCGATGACACAGATGTTAGACTTATCAGGCAAGGAATCTAAAACAACGATGAGTCCTAAGTGAAGGGCTGTAATGGAAAAAGTTGACAGCATACAAAAATACAGAGCACAACACCCGAGACCTGCCAGACAGTTTCAAATGGGGTCACATACACAGAGTCAGAATTCCACAAGGAGAGGAAATAGAGAACAGAGCAAAATAATACCTATGTGACGTAACAGTGACTGAGAACTTTAATTGAGTTGGAGTCTCACTCTTGTTGCCCAGGCTGGAGGAGTGCAGTGGCATGCTCATGGCCTCGACCTGCTGGGCTTAGGCAATCCTTCCACCTCAGCCTTCCAAGTAGCTGGAACTACAGATGCACACCACCACGCCCAGCTCATTTTTGTGATTTATTGTAGAGACGAGATGTCACCAAGTTTCCTAGGCTGGTCTCAAATCCCCGGGCTTAGGCAATCCTCTTGCCTCAGCCTCCCAAAGTGCGGGGATGACAGTCTGAGTCACCACGCATGGCCAGAACTTTAAAATACTGATGACAAACACCACAGACCCAAGAAGCTCAGAGAACACCAAGCAGGATAAGCACAAAACAAAACAGGATTAAAAAACAACGCTAAATTTAAAAAAGAAAAAACAAACCTAGGGGTATTGTATCAAAATTCTAGAAAACCAAAGACAAAGAGATAATCTATAAGAGCCAGAGAGGAAACCCCACCACCTTGTCTGAAAAGGAATCGAGATAAAAATGACAGCAGACTTCTCATCAGGAACTATGCAAGGAAGAGAAGAGTGGAGTGGAATATTTCATGTGGCAAATCCCATGAAACTCATTCCTTGGGAATCACGGCACAGGCCTATGGTATGCATGCGTTTCGTTTACAGTAATTTTCCTTCTCTAGAAGAGGAGTCAGGAAACTATAGCCTGTGAGACAAGACCGCCATGGCCTGTTTCTGCATGCCCCTAAAGCTAAGAAGAATGTTTATTGTTTTTAAAAGTTGTGAAAAAAAGAGAGAATGAAAAGAAGAAGAGAAAGAGGAGGGAGGAGGAGGGGAAGGACACAAAGAAGAATCTGCAGCAGAAACCTCGCGTGAACCACAGAAAGTGCTTGTCGTTCCCTCTGTGGGAGGTGGGCTCCACACCTTTCATCTCCATGTCTGGCTCTGGGAGGTGCTCAGTAAAAGTTCAAGAAGTTATACGCGGAATAATCTTCTGGGTCAGCATGAGAAAGGAAAAGGAACTTTTGGATGGGCCCAGGTCAAGGTTGCGTCTCTGTCACTCTTTACCTTTCTGGGCTTTGTGTTCCTAACCAGTGAGTCTACCATCTACCCTCAGAGCCACCATGGAAATTGAACAAGGGACTGCCCAGGGAGGGCTGGGGTTAGCAGGCGCCTGGTAACGGGAGCTTCTTTCCTTCTTTCTTGTTGTTTTTACTTCTGTAATTGCAACAAGAGCTGGCTTCCGGGCAGCTCTGCTTTCTCTGGTGTGGTTTTTTTCCTCCTTGACCTCTCCCCGCCACTGGACTTTCTAGGACCTAGCCAGCTATGGCTGTCTGTCTATCCTTCCTCCTCCTGGCAGACTCTCTCCGCTTCCCTGGTCCCGGCAGCCTCTCAACATGGAGTGACTGGGGACAAATCTAATTGCTCAAGGACCCATCTCAGGATAGGAGATATTTCAAGTGGACAGGTGTTCCTGTCACCAACTGAGCTTCTGTGGCCTCCATGCCAGGGTGGACCACGTGGCACCTCCCAGTCTTACCCAAGACATCGAGCTCCCCTGGGGTCTTTCAGCCGGCCAGTCCTCTAGCATGGGGCCCTGCCAGGAAGACAGGCTGCCTTCAGGGGCCCTGCTGCTGCCAGAGTCGGAAGAAGGATGGGTTTGGGGGGGATGAGACAGCCTCCATGTCATATTCTCTCCGGGCCCTCCAAGCTTTAAACCTCACACGTGCACCCCCATGACAGTACAGGAGGTCAGACACGCCTCGTTACAACCCTCCCTTTTGTAACCTGACACAGCTGACCAGCATGAATGTTAACACAGAGATCATAAGGCTGACAGAACAGACTCCGTGGCAGTAAGACGCCGAACCCCAGCCTGACTCTGGTGCGGCACCGTGTGACAGGTGACCGGCCCCAACGAAAATGAAAATATTTTTCTTCAAATATTTTCACAAAGTATTCCTGTCATACTTTAGGCTTTGTGGTTTACATATTTTTCTTTCAAATATATTCCTCCAACATATTTTGAAACGGCCCTGCAGAGTTGTCGCTTGGTGAAACTTACATCCATAGACAATCTCCTTCCTTGGGTCTCTGACAGATTCAGGAGATATTCAACTAAGAGTCTGACGCCTTCTTAAGGCCCCAAAAGAGACATATGCCACCTGTTCTTTCTGAAGTCTGATGCTTAGAGGCTTCATCTATGTAACAAGAACCTTGGCTTCCACGAATCCCTTGTCTTAACTCAAGCATTTCTTTCTACTAACCTCAAATTCTTTAGACAGAGCTGAATTCTTTCAACCAATTGCCAGTCAGGAAATCTTGGAATCCACCTATGACCTATAAGCTTCCACTTTGAGAAGTCCTGTCTTTCTAGGTTCAACCAATGTGTACCTCATATGTATTGATTTGCGTCTTTGCCTGTAACTCTGCCTCCATAAAATGTATAAAACCAAGCTGTAAGCCAACCACCTGGATGCATGTTCTCAGGAATTTTTGAGACCGTACCCCTGGCCCCGCAGTCACTCCTACTTGGCTCTAAATAAACCATATGTGTTTTTTAGAATTTTGGTTTTACACCAGCATTAAGAATTTTGGTTTTACACCAGCATTTTATATATATATATATACACACACACATAAGTTACTAGTTACAAAGAGCTTTGGAAACCACCTTGTATGCTGTAGGCGCTGCCTAACTGCAGGAGGCTGTTGATAGGCACAGTGATATCAGTGCATACCTAGTGCATATCAGCAGAGAGGTGTGGTCAGGGGTCCGGAATCCAGAGCCAGGCAGCCATGGCTTGGGTCCCCAGTCACTGCCTCAGAGCTGGTTAGCTTCAGGCCAGTTAGTACCTTGGGTTTCAGTGCCATCATACGCAAACTGGTCACTCAGTTTTGACTCAGAGTAAAGCTCTTTGAAGATTTCACAGCTTCGCTTTTTCATCCACTTCTCTTAAGCGTCCCTCTTCCCTCTGGCCCCACGATCCTATTCTGTGTCCCTGTTTTTTGTGTGTGTTTCCCCCGTCTGGACCACGGGCTTCCAGAGGCGGGGCACGTCTGCCTGCACCCTGCCCTTCAGAACGCGTGGGCTGAGGTTTGCCTTGACCAAGCTCCTGTCCACGGGACTGGGCACTGGGCCAGTTGGAATCTGGGAAAGGGTCTGTCTTGAATGTCACCCTCCTCCCCGCAGGTAGGGATGGTGACTTTTCCAGCCTCAGTGATTGTGCCCCCATTAAAATTAAAAATGACTGAATTCAAAAGGAATGTTGGAGAACAGAACTGCAGAAATCTGGGGAGGGCCAGGCTCTTTAGGGGCCGTTTTTTGCTGTAAGCAAGCCCCAGCCCTCCTGGGATCTCTTCAGAGATTGAGGCACCTGGTGGGACAATCTCACCCCACATGTACAGGGCAGAAATGGCGGGTGTGCATAGGCAGAGGGGCTCCTTTCCTTGTCCAGTGGCATCCCTGCAAGGAGCAGTAGTTTCTGCTCACACTGGTGTGCTTTGTTGGACAAGTTTAAATCAGAGTCAAAAGCGCTGCGCTGATTCAGACCAAGGGCTCATGGGCTCCACTGAAGCTATGCCCTGTAATAACAAAGCGCAGTTTGGAAAACCCCACGGGAGAAGGCAATGCTCGTGGGCATGGCGGGACCTGGCTCCACACCCCACAGGCGGCGGGCACAGGGGTTCGCCTAAAGGCACAGTGGCTGAACCAGGACCCGAAGAGCCCTGAGGCTCGGAACCGCCTGTTTCCTTCTGAACCCCAGAGCGCACTCACCTTTATTCATTTACTTATTTGTTTTGAGTTGGAGTCTCACCCTGTCACTCGACTCAGCCTTCCAAGGAGCTGGCACTACGGGCACTCACCTTTAAAGAAGATGTAATTCACCAGGACCAGCATGGTCTCTGGGTTGAGGTTTTTGACCAGCTCTGTGATTTTCCCCTGGGTCTCCTTCTTCACGTAGTCGTTGATGGCCTTCTCGGCGGTGGCGGTATCCTGGAAGTCGGTGAGGAAGGCTTCCGCGGTGTACAGCTCCTTGGCATCCTCCACGAACTTGTCCAGCAGCTGGAGCTGCTGCTGGACGAACATGGCGTTGCCCGTGCTCAGCTGCAGCTGGTCGCTGGGCTGGTTGAGGGTGCGCAGAAGGCGCTGGAAGCTCAGGTGCACTTCTGCCTCTGACATCTCCGTGATGTTCAACTTGAGGCCTTCCAGAATCTCTGTGTGGGTGTTGCCATGGGCCCCCAGCAACAGGAAGGCCAGGGCCATGGAGGTGCTCAGCGGAGAGAAGATGACGTTCTCCCCGGGGGTCTGCCGAACCAGCTGCCTGTAGAGGCTGAAGGCAAAGTCCAGGCTGCTGGAGGCCAGGAGTTCGTCCGCGGGCCTTGTGTGGTCTTGATCTTCCTGGGTCAGGTTCTCCGGGGCAGGTGTGCCACTCGGGTGGCAGAGGATGGCAGGGCAGAGCCCGGCCGCCAAGAGTCCCAGAGCCAGGAGGCGAAGCATTCTCTTGGCTCTCGAGCTGAAAGCAAAGATCCCTTACATCTCAGAGGGCCGGATGGAGCCCTGCCACCCACGGCTGCCCCTGGCCTGCTCTGTTCCTGCACCTCTGCCTTCTGCGGCCCTGTGTGTGCCCATGGGTAGCGGCGCTCCTGGGCACCCCACGCACATTGTTGCCTTCTGTACTTCCCTTCGCCCTTTGAGGGGAGTGCCGACATTGAGGGGAAACTGGACCCAGAGAGGGGGCGGGGAGGGACAGGTGGGTGCCCGGGGCGGCCCGGATCCTGGGTCCGGAAGCGGGTGGTGGGTATGAGGCTCTGTTCGATCAGAATGCCTCCTCCGCCCCTCCTGCTTGGTGAGCAGACCCCGGGCAGAGGGGGTAGAAAGCCAGGGCCCCTCTTCCCTCAGACGCCATCAGCCCCCGAGGTAGAACCCAGGGAAGGTGCCCCAGACAGAGTCAGAGACCCCGGCGCCTCTCCCAGTCGCTCGTAGACACACACGCCCCCGTGGTCCTGCAGAGGGTTAGCAGGGAGAGGACACCCAGCGGCTGCGGTGTGCAGGCCTCCGGGGGCTCTGATTATGTCTGTGCAAAGGCCGAAGGCAGGCAGCCTGCCCAGTCACCCGTGGTCTTGTGTCTGCCGTCAGCCTGGAAAGGCCGCCTGGCTGGGAGAGGGCAGGGGGGCTCCCTCCCTGGGACCTGCCGGGGGCTTCATCCTGGCCTCTGGTAATTGCTGGGTGGCGCAGGCAGGTGGCTACACCTGTGTGAGCCTCAGTCCCCTCTGCGCAGAGGGTGCCTGAGGCCAGACGGACGAGGAAGGTGCCGGGTCGCCTTCCTCCGACCCCACGTGCTCCAGAGACCCAGAGGGGCCGAGTGCAGAGCCCATGGGCGGCCACCAGGCCGGGAAGTCAGAGGGGAAGTCAAAGCAGCTTGAGTGCTGGAGGGCAGGGGAGGGGGAGACGAGCAGGGGGAGAGAAGGGGGGAGGAAAAGGGATGGAGCAGGGAAGGGGCGGGGAGGGAGGCCCAGGAAGTTCCTCTGGACCCGCCCGGGGCCATCTTCCCGGTGGCCTCAGCTGTTTGCTTACTCTGGCGCTGATGCAACCTTCTCTTTGGAAACTTGGTAAACAACATGTTTCTCCAAAATCCTTTCCAGAGAAAAGGCCCTGGAGGGGCCCTGCCTCTGGACAGCCTGTGTGTTCTGTTGCAGGACAGAAGCGGCCTGTCTGCTTGGCAGGGGTCTGGAGGGAGGTGAAGCCCGGCAGCCCCATGGAGATCCCATCAGGGCCTGGGCCTCTCCTCGGGGGCACCTCTGCCCTGGTCAGCCTGCCCGCGACCTGGGGGTCGCACCCTGCGCCCTGCAAGGGGATAGCACCGCTTCCCCTAGGGTGGGACGCATGGATCCCAAAGTGTGGAGGCAGAGTGACCTCAGAGGCCCGAGGCACCTCACCCTTGGTAGGGGTGACACTCACGCAGAGAGGGGGCTCTCCCCAGAGACGCAGGGAACCAGCAGCGCCCAGAGGGTCTCAACCCCAGCCAGCTCCCAGCACCGGCCCCGTCCAGGTCCCCTCCCACCCGCACGTTCCACAGGCTCCTGCCAGACCCAGGACCTCCCAGGAAGGCCCCTGTTCCACCGGAGCACCCTGTTACCTGCGCAGAGTGCTGGACGACGGCCCCGAGTGCGTGGTGTCCATGAGCGCCAGGCTTATTTATCCCTCCAGGGACTCCTCCCCCTGCTCGGGAAATGACAGCCCAGACACCCAAGCGAGGTGTTCTCAGACTGGAAATGGCCAGAAGATCATTTCCGGTAACAAGGACTTCTCGGTTCCCCTCAAACACCCAGTTATGGGAATGGCTCTTTCTGTTCCTTGCAAAATCCCCCAAAATCTTTTGTCCCGTTAGGCTTATCTGTGTATGAGTACTCACTGGGAAACATGGAAAAACCTGGAAAATATAAAGGAGGACATTGGGGAGTGTCCCCTAGAAACGTAATCCCCAGCAAGGGCCCCAGCTAACACGTTCAAATATATCTTTTTTTTTTCTTTTTGAGTTG